TCGGTGATTCATGCCATGTCGGATGAGCAAGATATGCGGAAGATGGGGGGGCTCGCCTCCTCGTTCCCTTTTACCTATGCCATGATGCTCATGGGCAGCTTATCTCTAATTGGATTTCCTTTTCTAACTGGATTTTATTCCAAAGATGTGATCTTAGAGCTCGCTTACACTAAGTATACCATCAGTGGGAACTTTGCTTTCTGGTTGGGAAGTGTCTCTGTCCTTTTCACTTCTTATTACTCTTTTCGTTTACTTTTTCTAACATTTCTAGTACCAACTAATTCATTCGGGCGAGACATCTTACGATGTCATGATGCGCCCATTCCTATGGCCATTCCTTTAATACTTCTGGCTTTCGGGAGTCTCTTTGTAGGATACTTGGCCAAAGTGTGACCTGTTAGCCCATAAGTAAAGACTGTGACGAAGGGGCTCTTGCTCACCCGACACGATCGTACGAGGTCACAATTCACTCAACACGACCATCCGGGGTGAAGAAGAATTGGGGATCGGATGTGGGCGAAATTCCCGCCAATGGCTGAGATGTTCAGTCGACTCCCTCCCCCTTTGTGGGGGTCCAGACCCCTACGAGTGAGCAGAAAAGGGAGGAGGAAAGAGGCCCTGGTGAACCGTAATAATTAGTGAACAAGTGTAAGCTTCGCTGCCCGACAGTATAGAGTACTGACCACACCGAGGGACAGGCCCTGAAGCGAAGGACGGGAACGAGCGGAATCAATGTGTTCCAATTTCTGGCCTTGCACCGACCATCCAATGGACCATGGACTAAACGGCCACTGCCTAAAAGGACTATGTCCAGGGGACCGCCGCCCCCCCCCCACAAGGTACATCTCGCGCCTATGGGCCGCTATAACTATCCAAGAAGACACTCGAAACTGGAAAGATAAACAAACCCACCCGGTAGACTGCCAAGCTACAAGTCTTACGACACAGGAGCGGGATTCTCTAAAAAGCCAAGGTCGTGAGTGGCCAAGAGGGCCCACTTGGAGACTTGGGATCTCAGCAGAAAATGCGAAGGTTGCTTAAAGCCGGCCGGCCGATAGGCAAAAGAAAATCAACTAGTTTAGTTCTGCTCTGAGTAGGCTCATAATAGGGAATACTCTAACCCCGGGAACCGGGGCCTGGCCATCCTTCGTTTGCGGTTGACGTTCCGGCAAAGTTTTTCCATCGACAGTTGAATGTTTTGATCTGGTTCGATTTTCAAACCTGAATCGGCGGATTCCGCTTTTACCAACCCAAGACAAGAGAAAAGGAGCAGCGGTACCAGGTCTAGAACCGGGGGTTCTTTCCTTTTCTCTTTCTGTGAGAAGGATGCGAAGAAGACGATTAAACGGGGTATTACGTAACTAAGAAAATAGCAGCTGCCTTTCCCCGTGGGAGAAAGAACCTTGCTTACTCTAGCCTTGGAACTCCCCGGACTATCCCCTTGGACTGAATGAGTCACTAGCTTACTTGATTAGTTGCTTAGCTGGCTTGCTTCTCCTAGAAAGCACGGTAAATCCGAAAAGGCATGGGAAAGGGGGAATGACTGACTCTAGCGCAAGCACTTTCCTTATCATATCCTTATTCTAGTTGAACCTTATTTCTATCCCAATCTCAGGGGACTTCCTTCAATTATCATATCCTGACTCTCATTAGAATAAAATTAAGTCAGGCTGTGAACCAGAGGCCTATTCTTCTTTAATACGAGTCAACTACTGCTTTTGCTAGCCCGGGGACAGGTTCAATCTTCCGACACGGGTTTTTGCGTTAACCAATTCAATGGATGGATGAACTGACCCTCATGGGATCATGTCCATTCCGTAGCTTGAAAGAGAACGGAGGTAGGTCTCCCCTATGTGGTAGGTTCTAAAAAGTGGTGTTAATTTCTGTGGGAGTACTTTTTTTTTCGCATTGCCCTAGTTACTTCATGGCTCCTAGCCCTAGAAGGGCTTTATGCCCTGAATATGCTTGCTTTCACGTCTTTCCCCCTCTTTTTTTTTTCTTTAGTTACAGACTAAAGGAAATGTACCTAAGCCGGAGGTTGTGGCGTAGGAAGAGTGTTCGCTCTTTTCCTCAAGGGAACTCTGATCCCGAGGAGTTCATTTGAATCTATGTTGATAGAAATCCCGAATCCATTCAATTCGACGACTTGATCCTCTTTCCCGCTCCAACCGATTACACGGGTGGGAAAAACTTTTGTTTAACATTTCCGGAAAGACCACCTATTTGTTCGTTTACCAGGTTATCCCCTCAATAGAAGAAAAAGGGTAAGTAAAAGAAAGGCTTTTCATTCCCATCTCGAAATGCGGAGTTCGCTACCTCTTACTAAGAATCTGAGCCTATCAAAACAGGGCAGCATAAACTGATGGTCAAAAACTAAGAAAGTTTCCTTTCGATTTCTTCCTACTCAGAAGTTTACATATCGAAAAATTCCAATATTTCCTGAAAAAAAGACGAATCAATCAATTCCTGGCGAATAGATCCTGGCTTTCGTGCTTTGGATTATGCCAACATGGTCCTGAGCTCCGCCTGAAGGCACAGGCATTTTCCGGTTACAGAATCGACTCTGAACTCTGATTCGAAGTTCTTCTTTGACAGTCTGAGGCTGAATCAATAGACCACAGTGGTCTCCTGTCTTCGCTAGAGCGGTTTCTAACTTCTTCAACCCATTCGGTGTGGTTGCTCTTCCTTTTTACTATTGTCTGAAACAGGCACTACATCCACCGAATTCTAGTGGTAGTCGCTTATTAGATTCGCGGTTTGGAAAGTGGCTGCTCTCGAGTTCAGTTTCGAAAAGACTCATCGAACTAGGCAGTTTGGACCGTTGGAACATCCGTTCACAGAGGTTGATTCATCTTCTCAAGATGTTAGTGAAGCTTCCTACGTCACAGCCAGCTAGCCAGTATCTTGACCTTGTAGAAATATCTTCTTCTTCCTCATCTTTCCGGGGAGATCGATTGATCCCTTCCTTGAAAGGACAAGTTCGCCGAAAGGCTTAATTATACTAAATTCTCTCCTCGTTTACCAGATTTAGGTCGAGCAACCGCTAC